TTTTATGCCATGCACCAGACATGCTCTATGACTGTATACTGACACACCAGACTGCATCAAGTTCATACCGGTACATTTTGGAATAACTTTATCATTTGCTATATGATAAGATTGGATGAAATAAGTGAAAGGGAATTGAATCTTCTATTGATATTCAACATGTGCCTTGGTATCAATTTGACATCTGGTTATGATGATTTAACGTACATAGCAAACTGTACATATCATATACATTGGCAATTTTTTGGTTGGTGTAATTACCTTATGTTTGGGACAAAGCATTGAGAAATTTTCTTCTTGAAGTTGACAACCTGTGAATATAACGTAAAACTAATAAGACAAAGCATTAGACTTCATTTATTAACAGGGAATCACTGCAATAAATATGGACGACAAATTTATCAATTTCCTTTTCAAAAGTATTATGTAACTTAATTTGGACACAAATCCTTGTTTTTGTTATAATTTGTAAAAAATCATAGGTATACATAGATCGTCAGTATTTTTTGTCTACTGAATCATTAAAATATTACTTACTTTGACAACACTACGGATGAAGCAAATATGGTGAACAAGGAATTTATATCTATCTTAAGACTTGAGAGAGATTGCATGGATTTTTCTGTGTTGTCTCATGTGACACGTACAAAGAGGATAAAATATAATGTTTCTTATTTACATAGATTCCAAACAAGCAGTGTGTTGTGAATGTCAATTACTAACAAAGACCACTACAATTTTGGTTCTATTAGTATTGTACAACTAATATTGAAGGAAAAAATATGAGAGTGAAGATGAGTGGTTAAAACAACTGTGTAATAAACCTCTACAGAAGTCTTTTGTCTGTGTGTCTGTCAAACTTGATAAAGCTGGTCACACTAGCACTCATTCTGTCCTACCATTATCATGGCACCATCCAATCAGTCTACCAACTTGTTTTCATTATTTGTCAATCACAACTTGGTTACATACCTTCATGAACTGCACATAAATAGTGATATTTTTCTTCACAACCTTTCGTCATACATCCAAGTGAGGCACCTTTTTGCTGACAAGAACAACACGTCTACAACAAACAATATTGATGACATTATTTCAATTAGACAGCTGATAAGATCATTTTGATGCATAAAGAATGCTTCTTCTTGTTGATTTTCAAAGATTTGTTTCAGTGCCTCAATGTAGACATCTTTCTCTAGATTAAAAAACAAACTAACTTTGAAAGCACCCCGTATATTCCTTTGGTATGGTTATATACAAAACCCTCATCAAATCAACAAATAGAAAACCCAATTAATTTTACATGAAAATACAGTAGGTAAATCATGTTGCTTTCTAAAGAAAGATGTTTCTGTGTTTTTTTAATTAATGTAATGGTTTTAGTCCTCAACATTACTCACAAAACATACCTACACAGTGTAGATACACCTATCCAGTTAAAAAAGCTTGCATTGTCGACAAGCGCAGAGTGTACATACCTACACAGTGTAGATACACCTATCCAGTTAAAAAAGCTTGCATTGTCGACAAGCGCAGAGTGTACATACCATTTGTTTGGCCACCCTGACAGCATCATGCAAACCATACATATTAGGTCCTGCCATGTACACTCCATCAGCCCAAACCGAACAGTCTTCATGAACCCACATCTCATCAGAATCACTTTTACAACATTTACTTGACCCTGCTGGTGATGGCAATGGTGACACCATTTTCTTGCTCCCTTTTCCCCGAGCAGATGATTTTCCCTTGTCAGGCTTAGGCATCGTTGGATATACCACAGAAAGTTGTGAATCAGACAACCATTTAGGAGGCTTGCCAATTCTCTTGTCTCCACTTTTTGTTCTACCTCTTGAACTCAGAGGAGGTGATAGTGCAGCACTGTCTTCAGATCGTGACCGTGACCTGCTCCTCCTTTTTTTGGTTGATCCAGTGTCCACAGTTAAAGTATCCAAAGGTGTTTTAGGCTCAACTTTGGGAAGTTTATGGCCTGGGGGATAATATGGTCCATAGAGATCTCCTAAAGTATCATAACTGGAAATTTTACCACAAAATGCACAATGCCATGGTCCACCATATGTAAAAATGGTGTTCGAGGACACCACTGGAGGTGAGGTTGGTTTCAACAAAGCTGGTCTGTCATTGTTCACTGCAGATGAAAGCACTTGTGTTTTGTTTTTCTTTTTACTTGCAAGAATTTTCTCCATTGCTTCTGCCATTGGATTATTAACAACAGTGAGAGAAAGAGTCCTTTCCTCTGAACCACGTATACGAATTAGTGGCCCTTGCAATCTACGTGGTATATCCAGACCATGTTTCTTTTTACGCCCTCTTTTGGGTGTCTCATCCACCTTGTCACTAAACTCATGTTTCGCAGATTTTCGCTTTGCACCTCTCTCAGTCTTTATTTTGTTTTTACTGCCAAGTGGGCGGCCTCGTTTTTTCTTTGGTGGATGATCAGTTGTAGTGTCATCATGTGTTTGTTCTCGAGTGTCCCAAGACTCCTCTTTAAGGCTCACCCTTGTAGTGGTATCCTGAGTCGAGGTATTCTCATTTATATGCCTATCACTTTCCACACACACAGACTTATCATCTGCATTCATGACAATATTGTTCCTATCATCTAGCGATTCTCTTGTCTTCATTGGTACTTCTAAGTTTACCTCTTTTTTGACACTACGTTTAATATTATTTGTTCCCTGACTTAATTTCTCACTTTTTTCACCCAGTTTCCACTTTTCTCCCTCATCCATGATCTCTTCATCTGACCTTATATTTGACATACACTGTTTCCTTTGTAGTTTTCTTAGAACAGGAGTCAAAATTGGATTGCAACTTTTTGACTTTGATCTTTGATAAACTGACCCATCAATTTTCCTGGAAGCACCATCCTTGTTCAAAGATTTATCTAATTTTGACTTAGTTTTGGTTGGCAAATCCAAAAATCTAGAATAGATGTTAATGTCATGTGTTGGCTGTACACTCTTTTCAAGGGCTATATTTGGTGATCCTGACCGACTATCAGAAGAACCAAAATCTGATTCCCGACACAGCAGATCTATCGAAGACCCACTGCTGCTATCAGATTCAAAAACAGTCGTCTCTTGTTTAATGTTAGATATTGAAAGTTTAGGATTTCTATCAGAGTCTCCATTATCCCCGGTATCATCATTCAGATCATGTTTGACAGTTTTTGAATTTTGTTTATGTCTACTAGATGTTAATGAATTTTTCTTGTTCACATCTTTCTCATTATCATCACTATCACCAGGGCAACCATGTTCTGTTCCACAATTACCAATAGCCTTCGCTTTCCCCTTAGGACTTTTCTCATTCACACAAAAATGTCTTCGGTTTGCTACTCTGTTATCATTTGTCATAACATGTTCTACAAGGCTTTCTGCAGCCTCTATCTCATGCTCCTCTATGAAACATGTCTCTCTACTCACAGTTATTTGCTGGCCTTCCCCAGAACAGTCAACAGAAATTGGTATTATACTTTTCCCATTTTTAGGAACTTTTTTCAAAGGAGATCTCATTCTGTTATGAATAATGCTTCCCTGATGACCATCTTTAATTAAATCCTCTTTTGTTAACACTATCTTAACACAACTTTTTCCCGATTCTATGATGTCTATGCAGTTTTTTTCTTGTGCATCACAAGCAAGCTTTTTTTGTTCTTGGTTAGAAGCATTTGACTTGGGAGATACGTTGTGATTTTTTTGTTTTTCATTGGCAGTTTCATTACATTTATCTTTGCTGTGATTTTCAGAGTCCTCACATTTCTTGGAATTTGTGTCTGAAACATCCGACTTGATCCTCTTCAAGAATGCTCGACTTCCTCCCATCCCTCGATTTGCCCTTCGCTGAACTATTACATCAGGTTTATCTTTATTTCCATTATCATTCTTTTTCACATTCTCAACTGTTTTTTCATCATCTTTTTTAGAGTCTTGTGATTCAACTTTATTCTTCTTTAATCCTTCAGTACCTGCAGAACATTCGCACTCCTCAATAGTTCTTTTTCTGCTCTGACCCTCAACATGGCTCTGCACCCTCCTTTTCTCACCATCATTTAACTTATCATCAGTATTCACGTTGGAATCTCTACCTCCTTTATTACCACCCTTTTCATGTTGATTGCCATCAACTTGATCAACTGGTTTGGGGCTGTTCCCATCATCCTCTTTGGAATTTTGGGCAGCAGGTCCTTTACTTTTCGGTTCACCTAAAAAAGCAACCATCTCTTCAAGTCTTGGCAATGCTCCTTTATTTTGCAGGCTGTCATGTTGTGTTGGACTAATTTGTTGCCCATTAGGGTTGACATAAGGACCGTTGGGTATTTGGTGATGCGGAACTGATTTGTATGATGTCTGGTTTCCAACAGGAGAAACTGGCTGCTGCCAGTTATTAGGAGATTTCTGTGGCACTGATAAAGGTGATTTCACAGAGCCATTAGAACTTCCAGGAGATGGCAGAGCTGCTGGACTTTGCACCATGCCACAAAGTGGAGAACGAACTGTAATGGGACTTGGTGCTGGGGATCTTGAAGGAACAGAGTTGGGACTATGGATGCTTACTGGTGACCTTATACTTGTAGCGGGAGAAGGGACTGGAGATGGATGGCTACCTGGCTGACCAAGCGGTGAATTTGAATACACATAGTGTGGATTGCGATTGTTGTTACCACCAGTGATTCCATGCCCAATGGCATTTTGATGCTGCTGCTGTTGATAAACACTAGATGATTGCATCATACTTGGTGATGTAGAATGGCTAGGACTGGGTACCATGCTACGATACCTACTCGCACCACTAGGTTGTTGTTGTGGAGGACTTGTGCCTACTGTCTGTGACTGATTATAACCTCGAACAGTATGCATCTGTCCAGGACTAGCCATATTATAATTCTGATTGTAACCCATACTGTTTTGGGGAGGATAACCTGGACCATAGTTGCCACCTTGATAATGTGGTCCATACTGATATTGGTCATCTTGTGAATAGTACTGGTGGGGAGGATATTGACTGACCATTGATGGTGGTTGCTGATCTCTATAGCCAGGATGTATATTTTGTTGCTGTGCCATGTACTGCTGTTGTTGGGTATAATACTGCGACTGTTGCTGCTGCTGCTGCTGCTGTTGTTGAGATGGCGGTGGTGGTGGTTGGGCCACATGGGAGTCATACTGACCATACTGGTCCGATGGGAACGGCTGTGGTGGTGGCATATGTGATGTCGGTGACTGTCCAGGGGGACTATGTGGTAAATGCTGCACAGTATGAGCTCTCTGTGATTGTTGTTGCTGTTGCTGCTGCTGCCAATGACCAGGCTGTACTTGGCTCATCCCATGGCTCTGCAACACAAAAAAATAACACTACTATGAGAACAATATAATTTTGTGTGCAGAACACATGCATGGACGAACAGGGACGCCGAGCAAAAGATGATAATGCAGCTGTGTTACTGTTTGAATGTGTGCAATATTCTCAAAATAAAACTGATTCATGTGACTTTTCAGTTCAGTAAAAAATGTATTGTGATATGTTTTGCAATCTTCTAGTTTTTGTCCTGGTAAACTCAATCAAGTCTGATGATGACAATATTTTTAGTCGTCATCTGATAAAAACATGTAATGAATGGTTTATGTAAAATAGTACAGTACAGTTCGGCATAACTTCCAAAGTGGCTATCAGCTGACATTGCTTCTACATAAAACTTATAAAGCATTGTCTTCAATAATTTAAACTTACTAATATGAGGTATACTCTAAACCATTTAATTTCACTGCTACAAATGTTTGCGATTTTAGGATTGCATGGCTTTCCTTTCATTTTGCAAAAATTGCTGACACTCTGTGACCCCAGAGAAATTTTCACTGTTATAAAATTTTGTGATTTTTACTGACTAATGAAATTCACAAAAATTTGTAATTACTCTACATAATGTAGATATATGCCAGCAAAATACGCTACATTCAAGCCAACTAAAAGGTAGCTAAATGGTAAGTTACGCTCGAACCAAAACTTTAATTTTAATTGTGATTTAAATTTTTCTAAATAACCAAGGCACATTCAAACACTTCTGTATGTAGTTGTACAGACCTGAATAAATTATATTGCACTCACTGTTTTAAAAATGGATACAACGAAACATTTTGAAGAGATCTAGTAATATTTTAAGATATATTGTATATAATATTGTAATAGCATGTATATTGTTATTAAAAATAAAATATAGTATTCTATATAATAGCAGGGTACCACATATAATCAAATTGAACGGCTTTTCCATCAACTTTTTAACATTGTGAATATAAACCAACTTTAGCAACCCCCAAAAAAACTCGCAAAAATATTTTAAAAGTACATATATAACTAGAATATTACAAACTATTAATACAATTTTATTTGACTTCTGCCCTCAAGTAAACAATTCTTAGTAATACACAGTGGTAAGATCATGATCACTTGAAAATTGATCACAACTAACCCATTTCAAATTGGTGATTAAGAGGATATTAATTTCAGCAAAGGGGAAAAAAACTGGGTTACCGGTATACATATAAGATTGTCATGTGAATGCTTAATATGTAAAACTGGGGAGAACAGATGTACAACATCAAACCACCAATTGAGAGCAGAGAGTAGTCCATAACTTTGAAAACACAACAAAATGTTTATGGAGAAGAAATCGATTTAGATTATAAACCATTAAAAATCATGATGTAATGATTATAAAAGTACACAAGGTAGAAAAGATTTCAATGCAAGGCTAAAGACTTGTTATACTGCCCTCTATGGCAATACAATTGGATAACGTTGATTTACAGGGATTAATAATGCCTCGACCTAGCGTTAATAAAATCCTTAATGAGTGACTGATTGATACCATGCCATGAAATGATTTTATAAGATACACGCGCGTTTCATTTTTATTGCTCAAACTGGATTTACTTTGTTGTTTTAGGAGAATTTAATTTTCCTTGAAAACCCACATAAGCAATATATTTCAATGTTTTGTTTCAAAATACATGTAAACAAAAAGAAAGTATCTCTAATGAATTTCATTTTTGTTGATTTTGCCCTTCAGTACAAATACATTGCAAGTGAAAATAATGCATTATATATTCATGCATGTACTGTGAAACACTTCTAATTAGATAGATTTTAGTTGAATATCTGAATTATTAAAGAACACTGTTATATAGCCAACAATCTCAATGCAAGAATATATTAAAAATAGATACACCTTAAATCAGAAGAAATAACCTAAAAGAAGAGAAAGAAAATGTTTAATATTAAAGACACGATTCACAGTAGTGACAGAGCTTTGATACAAAGCACGATTACAAAGTTATATTCTAGAATGATACGTCTAGAATGATAAGGCACTGTAATGATCGAATACTGAAAACAATACACTGATCGGATATAGTGAACAATATCGTAAAAACCAGTTACAATGACATGAAATATGTATGTAGAATGTATAGCAGGCTAGTAGTGGAGTGAGTACAGAGTGAGTTGTCAAGACAACACGAGACTGACTCTGATCATTCTATTATTGAAGGAATCTTGCCAAGTCATTCATACAGTGGAGGATTTAATGGCAAAACACACAATCATTGAATGAACAAAATCATGAATTGATACTGTACAATGTTCTCAATAGCAGACGATTCCAATAAGCAGCTAAAAGTATTACAATGACAGACAAAATAATCTGATGTGGTCGAGTAAAACATTTTAAAAGATTCACGCTACTGGAAATATTTTGGCATTAAATTTTACAGTATAAAATTACAATTTTATTTATTCAATTTTGGGGTCTTAATATTAATACATGTAGTCTAATTAAAATTTACGTTAGAATAGAGCGAGAGTTGCTATAGAAACAAACAGTTTATAACCCCAGTTTTATTGCTTATCCATGATTTGTAGCATGTGTTGATGGTAGAGTAGTGGGTTAAGTAATAGAAGCCACTGAACAATTCAAACTGGACAGGTAGTTTGCAAATGCAGTCTTATTGCGTGTTAAAGACTAAGCAATTCCATTGTTTGTTTGTTTGTTTGTTTGTGAAAAGTCAGTAACATAGAAAATATACAAAAGAATTGCTTTCCCTTACAATAGTTCATGGAGAATTTAAATTTCAGCATCTACTTCACATCCATGTACAAAGAAAAAATGTATAAGACATGGCATAGGAATTCTCATGATATATAATCGGAAAGTACCATCTCATTTAAAACAGTATTACCAGTAATGATATGCCAATTTATTCAAAATATACAACAACAGAATACATCATGTCTAAGATTTGAAACCATACAAGTCAAAATGCCAATCAAGAAGACAAGGTATTATAAAGTATGTGTAAAGTTTGAAGCGAATTCAGGTGGACACATGCACTAAAGTAAACCATAAGTTACCATTCCAGACAGGAACTATATCAGTGATGCATCATAATGAGGACAATTAAATACTGTATTTGCTCTAATTAATATTACATGCATTTTGATACAGTAAACAATAAATACAATCCTTGATTTATGTGTGTGTGTAAAAGGAGCAAAGATAGCATACTGTAACCTGTTCTCTATACATGTAGCAGAGAAAAATATGCATTCAATAAAATTGGCACACCTGTATGTGCAATCATATGAAATGTACGTGTATAAATAGAACAAAAAATATAGCACATGATAACCTTCTTTCTATACATGAAGCAGAGAAAAAATATACATTCAATATGTGCATTCGTATGAAATGTATTTGTACTTGCTCCAACATCTAAAATTTCCTTTAATGTTTTAAATTATTGATGTAACATTCAAATATTTCCTTTCATTTTATACATCTGACAGAACCACTAAAGCACGAGACTGAAATTGAATCTCGTCAATGAACACAATGCTTAACAAAACATTATTCATTGCCATTTCCAGTTGCTATCTTTCATTAACTTATCACTACAACCAGAAAACAGATATAATAATAATGTTAGGATGAGAAAAAGAAAGAATAGGATTGCCCTGTTCTCTGCTACAGCAGTCGATACAATCATCATATTGCCTTGATGCCTACAATGCAGTATTTTTGTGATAACCTCATAATACTATCACTACAAATACTTGCCATTTTATAAATAAAAGCAGTCATAAAGACCAAATAAAGTAAAGTCGCTGTAAATTCTGTCTTTAAGAAAACCCCAGTGACATTCTCTGCCACAAAATTTAAGTTTCCTTAACACTTGAAATTCATGAACATTTCTCTTAAAATAAAATTTGTTTACAATATCTTATATAGATAACAAACTGATGATTTTTGATACATACATGTATCCGTAACAAAATAATTCAATTCAATAATATCAAATCTTAACTTGGAAATTATACCATGGCAGAAAATATCAAATTTCTAACAGTTTACATGCATACCATCTATATAATTATGAATTTAATACATTAACAAATATGATGAAATATCAAAGTAATAATTACTTTCTGGAAAATATATTGCATGTAAAAGCAGAATTATTTTATAGAAAATTGACTAAAAAATCTATTGCGTGTATCAAAACAATATATTTCATGTTTTTGTAAGTTCCAGCTTCTTGAACCGAAATCACAATCTAATGACAATGAGGAATTATTTTGTAACACACTAAAATTATATGACAGAAAATAGAGCAGAATGGTGCAAACATCAAAAGGTCAACAGAGGTCAGTGTTAAAAGCTTGTACAATGTATATACATACTGAATATGTTAGGATTATTGTACTTGAATGACAAATACATATAATGTGTTATTGATAATAGTAAAACTTAATTTTGTAGGAATTTATCAACAATTAGGTAGGTGATAAGTTATGATTAAAATCTATCACTCCCTTTTTTTAAAAACAAATCTCAATTTTTAGTAATTATTATATTAATAATATATAATTATTTAACATGGAGAGAAAAAAAATTGTGCTGCAGAATGTGAAATTGGGTCATTGTGAAGCTGAGTGGCAACTACCTTAATTGTATATTCAGATTGAAACATTAGAGATGAGATTGCAATTCTACTGACACAAAATTAAATCTTGTTTACATCGCTGCATTACAGAGGACTTAGAAACAGGTTTGACGCATGTGCAATTGTTCTCCCAAGAATTAAAACGTAAAAAATGCATAATGAATATATGTTATCTAAAACATAGCTGCAACATTCATTTTGTCATAACAACAGTGACTATGGTAACAGGACATGACAATTGCGACAGACAGTGATTCTACACAATACAAAATACAGATGGAAATGTACATTTAAATTCAATTTTTAAATTGATGAAAAACTAAAACTTCCTG